GCCAGTATAGGTGGGACAACCAGGCAGGAAATAGAGGCAGGGCGAAAAGAACAGGAGAATTCTGGGAAGAAGGAAGCTTGGTCTGCAGTCCTGACCCAGCCACAGAAGAAGCAAGATATGACTGCCTCGCTGAATAAGGTACCAATCCATGTGGTTAAAAAGACAAGAATAATGGGCTAATATAAGAGTTAATAAAAAACCTGAGTTAATGGGCCAATCGGTTTACAACTAATGTAGATCTCTGTGTGATTTCTTTGGGACTTAATGACTGCAGGAACCAGGCAGGACAGAAACCCAGTCAACAGGATATGCTAATATAGAATTCTGAGAATGGTGGCCATTGCAGGAAGAACACAAATGTTGATTTAGATAGCTGCTTCATTTGGAGTGCTGCTTCAACCTGAGGGGCCATATTCATTTGTAGCTCAGACTAAAGGGGGATAGCTAGAAGTTTCTGTGTTTCTTCAGAAATACATGCAGTGTATGACAGTATTTTTTTTTACTCAAATAAAGCAAAAGCAATGGTTCTTACCCTGAGGGTCGTGACCTCTTTTTGGGGAGAGTGTCTCATGTCAGATATTTACATTATAATTCATAACAGTGGCAAACTTACAGCTATGAAGCAGCAATGAAATAATTTTGTGTTTGGGGGGTCACCACACCACGAGGAGCTGTACTAAAGGGCCACTGCATTAGGAAGGTTGAGAACCAGTGAAATAAAGTGCAGTGCGACTGTGAGCTAGCATCAGTGTACAAACATTTCCTCCTGCTCCACTGGCCCCCTAAGTCGGAGGCAAACTTACCCACTTCTTTTTTAAAAGGGAAAACTCTTGGGCTACTCCTTTCAAAGCTATTACTGGCAAAAAAAAAAAAATCAGGAAAATATTCTTCCATTTGTTGAATTAAGCTTTTGTTTTTAACTGCAATTTATTTCCATCTGTGGGAAAAGGGTAACTTTTTTTGTTGACCCTCAGTTTAGATACAGATGATTAGAATGAATGGAAGATGTCATTAATCCCGGTGAAATCAGCTTCATTTATTCATAAAGATGCATAGCACTTGGAGGACATTAGATGTGACTGCTTATTTTCCCCCTACCCAAAAGGTGTATTTGAAAGTTAGGCAGTAAATCTCTAACATAAACCCGCTTTGAAGTGCAGGTTTGTAGTATACACTTCAGTTGCTAGGGGGAGCCATGTATCCACTTAATTTGTTAACTTGCTCCAAGCCATGCAGGCAGGTCTGTTGAAGTCCCATTCATTTCAGTCGTTAAATGTGTCTTCTACAACGTGCATGGATGTTTTTGAAGAGAACAAGGTATTCGAAACCACAGAGTGGTAGATTTCAAGACAAATTCTAACCTTAGCAAAAATGTGTCCCATATCTCTGCGTCTTTTGCCCTACCTATATATATAGTTGTAGTATTTTCATTGCATCTGGTTATCATTTAATTCAAATAGGACAATAAATAAGATTAGATGGCAGGTGAGCTGAAATTACACCTGTGGTTAATTTACACATACTTTGTATCCAAATCACACTTAAGTACGAGACAAGAAAACGTCATTATTGTCTAGCAAATTTGGAGTGTATACTCTCTCCCAGTTCTATATAAGGCTGGTAATACTGGAAAAAAACAAGCAATCCCTCTGTATCCACCATGTTTGTAATGTCACTGGTTAGAAGTCCTCCCCTTAGAATTTTCCAGCAAGTAGGAAAACTGAATTAGTGGGAGGGTAAAATGATGTACGGGAAGAACAGAAAGAACTAGTAATTTCGTAGCAGTTATTACTTACATAGGTAATACATATGTAATTCATATACAATATATATATATATATATATGAAGTCACTTTGATTCTCAACAATATTACTAATCAACCAATACATCCAATACTTTATAGATATTGCAAACAGGCTCAGAAAAAAAATGTGACACACTTGAGTGTTTCAGATCTAGCATAGGCTCTAGGATCCCATAAGCAAACAAAATCAAACATACAAAGAAAAGCCTCAGAAGGGGCTGTGTCTGCCACCTCACACTAGCGCTCAGTTGCAGTGTAAGGGCACCCATCTGAGAGCACACAGTACAGGGATGCTTTGCACATGCCTGTGAGAATCCTGTGTGCCAGAAGCAGAGATGACAATGAATGTCTCAGGGCTGTGACTGTGCAAACTCCACTTCAGATCCTCCTGTACCTGCTGGGCGTTTCACACAGTAAAGAATACTCTTCAGTTCCTTTGTAATTTTTCCTAGTTACTTGTATTGATAGATTTGACTTCAGACCATAAAGGTATAGAGGACACATCCTGCTCCGGAGGACCAAAGCACCAGGTAGCAGACACTCCCAGCGTCCTCGGATTTAATTGCCCCCTGATGGGTTGAAGTCTTCTTAGATAAAGCTCAAAATCATGTTACAGTGTCTCATACCCAGAAGCGACAGAGAGCAGACCATTGGGACCAGCATGAGTTTGTTTGTTTTATTTAGCTCAGTAATAGATTTCCTAAGATGCTGCTTATGAGTGCTGGACTCAAAAAGTCCAGCCTCTAACTATCTTTTACGTAAAGCATTCAAATTTAGTGACCATGCAATATCTAAATTGTAAATATCCAATGACACAGTGGTTCATAAAATATAATCAGAATCCCCATCATCTGAATTCCTTGCAGGGATGTAGAAATTAAATAATTCCAACATTTCAAGATCCAGCTGCCATTTAAAGGCATTTTTTCCTTTATTTAACTCTGGCATTAATTAAATAGTATAGAGAGCTCTACAGAAAATCAAAGCCTCATATTTTCAAACAATCAGACAGAACTATTGAGATCACATATAAGATAATGGAGATTTTTCTCCTTGCATTATGCTAATACACCATCATCATAATGCATGGTTACAGGTTAGTTTATTCACCAGTAGTCCTATGACTAACATTAATTTATTTCATACTTCCCAGTGCTAGAAATTCCCACATTCAATAAACTTCATTGAAATAAGCATTATTTCTGTGAGATGATCTTTGCTACTAAAATTTCTTTTTCAATTTGAAGTTAGTACAGATAAACTTTTCCCCAACACGAGGTGACTTTGTGTATTGTTTGTGACTGTTTTCCATGCCCCCTATTTAGGTTTTTCTGTATTTAGAAATACATGCTGGACTGACCTCAAGGTACACTAACATGAACAACAGATACTGTAGGCCAAGTCTCCTGCATGGCCCATAGGAATCTCTGTTGTGAGGAAGCTTGGTGTTTGGTATGAGGTCAGCTTGGGCTGCTGAAAAACCTATTCTCTTTTGGCCATTCTTCTGTTACCCTATTAGTTAACCATAAGCTTACAACCAGACAAATAACCGTAAGCCACACATCACCAGACAATTGGGCTACAGAGAGTTTCCTGACTGTGTGTTGGAAGGGACTGATCTGCATATCACAGTCGTCAATAGTTTTACAAAGTTTGAGAGACAGTAGAGAAGGGGATTCTTCTGTCACACTGTGACTCAGAGGCAAGTGTCCCCACCCCACATATCCTGTAAACCTTAAGATGTAAACCTTAAAAATTTTAGATGGCTCCATTTACTTACTCCATTTACAAAGGCCTTTAGTGGTTTAAATTAAGACACAAAGAACCCTAAATGATACTTGAGACGCACCTGAGAGAGACAAGTGTTTGGAGATATTCATGTATTCACAAAGTAAGCACTGTGCACAGTTCAGTCAGACAAAAATACCAAGAACCATAATGTTTCTCATTATAAAAAGCAATTATGCTTAGGTATGGCTTTAAAAGAACCTGACATTTAATGTATTTGATGAATGTGCAGTGTGCTGATGAGTGCTGGGTAGCGTCCTAGAGGGTCTCTTCATTAGGTTTATAATGTCCCCTTTCATCAGAGAACCATGAATGCAAATGCAAGAGCTGGGAAGCAGAGCATCTACTCCAAAATGGCACTGTCCTGCTTACTACCCACAATACCTCACGGCAGAAATAACTAAACCTCACCAATTAAGTTAAGGTATTGGTTTCCAATCGGCTGAGTTACAAAATGATCTTTATGTGTAGTGATTGTCCTTGTCTTGAACTCACATTCACAGCCATGCATCCAAATGAACATCAAAAGGACATCTTATGCTCTAAAGGAATAAATGGTATTTTAGCTGATGCCTTTATTTTTTATCTCTTTTCTCCAAGTGATAATGAAGATCTCATTTGCCATGCATAGACACTTACATTCCCTTTTCTGAGAACGTTTCTGATATCGTTGGTTAAAGAGAGAAATGCCATTTCTTTACAAGGTTGTCCTATTAATCTACAGCTGTTGGTAAATATCTAAGTTATCCGGTTAGCTAATTTGTTTCTATGGCCTAAGAATGAAGAAAGACTAGCTGCCACATTCAATCCAAAGGAGTCGATAGATATATGAATATTTATAAGAACATCAATATTGACATGGTCTTACAGTCATGCTTGAAGCTAAATAAAAATCTGAGTAAATTACCACAAATATCACAGTATAGTAGGATAAGAGTTAAAATATATGTACAGATCCATTGACAACATCTGTGCAAATATTGTGGACAAAACATTTAAAAGAAATTTACACAAAAAGTAGATAAATTTATCAAATATTGATAAATTTTCAGAGACAGTATAAAAGTACACAGAACATGGAAAAGAGAACGAATTTTTTTTTAAAGTAGCCACTATGCCCATACATAGAGTGCACATTAACTACATTGATAATTCAGAATGATGAAAATCAGAGACAAAAACGATTTGGTAACAAACAGCAAAGAAAGTTTCACCAATCACAGAGAAGAATGACATTCTCTTGGGAGATGAAAACACAGATGCCGAGCCCCTCCCCTCCCCATCCACACAGAGAGAAATCAAAGCAAACTCAAACGTTGTCTACAGCCACACAGGACAGACAGGTGGGAGGCATTTGGTATGTTGCGTCACAGGGAGTCAATCACGATTGGCTAACGATGATGGTACCTGGCTCTGTTGTAGGTCACTGGCTTGTCTGAGAGGAGTCACTGAAGGAGGAGGAACTCCTGATGTAGATGCAGACCGGCCAAGCTTGCAGCTTACTTTAGGTTCTGTGAACAAGGAGGAGACAAAACAGTAGCTGAGAAACATCTGAGTTGGTGGGTTGGAGCTCTCCTGGTGTGCTGCATGTGGACATATACAAAATACTTCTGGCGTTGTCTAATAATTACGCCAGGGATAAAGATTTTCATAACTACTTGTTCTCTAAGGCGCTTTATTCAAAGCCGAGTTTCCATGGAGTAGAGGCAGAATCCCTTCAAGCACAGGCTGTGTTCCCCTGCACAATCAACTACAATTAGTTTCCATGGAAGAAAACCACCCCATTCAGGAGTAAAACAAGTGACTCTTTTTTAGCTCATCTTTAGTTTTGGCTCCTAGGAATCCATGACCCCAAAATGTCTTATCTACCCTCTCCAAGTAACTCCTCTCCTTTTTTATTTCTCTCTCTTCCTCCCTCCCTTCTTCTCATTCTTCCTCTCTCCTCTGATCCCCTTTTCTTTTTCCCTCCACCTATTCCTCCCTCCTTCTTTCCCTCCTTTCATATTTCTATGACTATGTTTATCATGCATTTAATATAACACTGTTTTCAACTTCTCTCCATTTTCTTTCTACAGGCTGACTGATAGATTTGGTGTGTGTGTATGTGCATGTGTGTGTGCATGTGTGTGTGTGTGTGTGTGTGTGTGTGCATGTGTGTGTGTGTGTGTGTGTGTATGCATGCGCGTGTGCGAGTGTTTGGAGTATGCACATGGCATGGAGTGTACATGAGTGGAAGACAGAGAAGACACCTTATAGGAATCAGTTCAGTTTCTACAATTGCCAGCAATTTTCTTTCCCACTAGGAAATCTTATAGGCCCTCCATTCATTTTTAGCTTTACAATCATCTTCTGAATCATTTGCAATCTTTTGGGTAATCATTTTATACCTACCATGTAAAATGAACCAGATTGAGCACAGTGACCACAATCTTTCTCTTGCCCTGAAAGGGTTCTCCTTCTCTTTTGAGGAATGCAGACCCTACACAGCAATCAGGCATCTGATTCATGACAAGCAGCTGTGATGAGTCTCCCGAATGCCTACTATAGCCCAGCCCCAAACATGGTGCAAAGGATGTGTGGTGAAGACATTGAGTATCCATACTCCAAGGAACTTCATTCTTTTTCACAGGAGGCAAATGCTGCATCTATACTCATTTGGTGGTAGTTTGGAAAGGAATAATGTGTGTCCCTGGTGGACATTGGCTTTTATTATCCCTGAAAAAACAGATGCCCATATATGTACTGCATACACGCATGCTTGCATACATATGTGCAGTGAACTTACCTCTATTTCCCTTCTATATTTAGTGAAACTGACTATATTCCTCTCTCGTCTTTCCATCTACTGCCTGCACATCCTCCTCTTTCTCCATCCTGTCCTGATTGCTCTCTCTTTGTCCTTCTATTCCACACAGGGCAGCATTTCTTGCCTTCTGGCAATTTCTCCTTCAGTCACATACAAGATCTAAAGGTCTGTTCTCTCCATGTGCTCTTGTTTGGTCCTGGGGCTCAGTGCCTCTGCACAGCAGGCCATTCTCATGCCTCTAAAAGAAAAGCCCAGTTCCCTAATGTCTTACACTCATCTCCTGCTTCCCTCCAACCCGCATTTCCCAATGCATAGCAAGATTACTGCTTCCATTTTCCTGGAAAAATGGTGGACATTTTCAGCTCCTTGCCCCCCCACCACTTTATGTACATGAATAGTCTGGTTAGAACTTTAATTTTACTTTACAAAATCATCTCTTGTTTGTTTTATTCTTACCTCTGAGATCTTCTTACTGGCTCCCATAATATCTATACTCAAAACAACCTTGGAATCCATGCTAGACCGAATTTCCTAGATTGTCGTTGACTTACCTCTCTATTTAAATATTTGCAATGATCCCATATTAATGTTAAAAAATAAAAGTTACTTCAGAAACCCTCTGCAATCTGATACCATTTAGTAATGTCTACTCTTTGGTCCTTTATCCCCTGCTTTCTAGAACATAGACAATTCTTTCTCTGCTCATAGATGCACCATGATCTGCCTCTACCCTTACCCTCACATTCTTCCCATGCATCAACTTTCCATTAAATCAGGTCTCACTGTTTGCTAAGACTGTAAACCATCCTTTGATCTTGCTTTCATTCCCATCTTCCAAATTTACTTAGTGTGTATTCAGTGCTTACTACTTTTGAGCATTTTTCCAGTTGGAAAGGACCATAAAGTAGATGTTTAAAATTATTATATATTTTTCTATCATAGAAGATACTCTGACTTTTTAAGATGAGGTCAGCACATCTTCTAAAACCAATCAAATAACACAGATTATGCTGTAAGACCTGGATCTGAGGTCTACATCTACCCCACATTAAGGCAATAATTCTCACTCAAGGGGCTACCACCCTCTAGCGCTCATATCAGAAAACTTTAGCTTGGTGTGTGTGATTTGAATTGAGGGCATTTGAGTGAGTATATTATACATTGCCTATATTATATGAGGACATAGCTAAAATGTCACTGTCATTTACAGTCTAACCTAATTTACCAGGAAGCACAAATCCTTGGCTGAACTAATAAGGTAATATCAGTTTTTATCACATGAAATCGCAGATAAAGCCTCCATCAGATTCCTGGTCAATTAGGTCTCTACAAGAAACCAGTGAGTGTCTATTTCCCATTACTGGCTTAGGATATCTGATGAGACATTTCAATATATTTTTCTTATGATAAGATCTTGCATACGATTTGTTTACTTCAAGGTTCCTTTCAAGATTATATTGATGATATTATCTGATAAAAAGCAACTGCCTGAACTTTTATACTGTCTAACGTAACCTAGGATTAATTTCCATTCCTGAGGTTTTCAGTCCAGCCTTGACTTAATTACCATCTTCTCAATATAGTCATTGATCGCTCTATTTGCAGAGCACATATCGGTACCGTCCAATCAGATGCCAGATTTCACTGTGAACAGGGAAGCCTTGCTTTGCCCCTGGAAGTCAATTCAGATCATGCTAGGGGTGTTTAGCCTGCTTATACATGTAAACCATCTGCAACCCACTGCACATAGCAATTTATACTACTTGCAAGACACCCTATCGACCAACTCTGGAGTCAGGTCACCCAACAAGCAAATGTTTGATACTAGTTTACATCATGTGGGTTATGACTCTACATGCGGATTTAGACTGAGATTATTTCCATAAATCATTATGTCTGCATGTATACATGTAGACACGCACACACACACACACACACACACACACACACACACACACACACTATTCCTATCACACACACACCAACATTTACACACATGTGAAGCAACACTCATTTTTTTTAATGGTTTGAGTTTTATTCCTCATTTTGGCTCCAATTGATGGCCTATAGCTCCAATGCACTTGGAGTTTGTTGTGTTGTTTATGAGAGAAGATAGATGCCACAAACGCTTATATATCTGAGATTTCTGGGAAAAGAGAATCACACAACCTGAAAAACTTAGAAAAATTTTCATTGTTACTTTCTTTCTTAGAGATTGTCTAGGCTATGACATCAAAATAAAACCGTCCAAATTTCTAATAGTCAAAAACAAAAGACTATCTCAGGCTTAAACAATATATACCTAAGTTTTCTCTCCAATTAGAGTTTTAGGTTTTGGGGGCTCATTTGGAATTTGGGAGTTCAAAAAAGCAATAAACCCATGCCTGAGAAGAAATGTAACATAGAGCTGTCTGACTTCAAGAACATTCATTCCATCAAGAGGTTAATCGTGAGATAGAGGACAGCTAGTCTTTTTATTACCTAGAAAAATGAGCTTTTCCTTTGAAAAGTCTACCAATAATTCTCCACAAGAGAGGCAGATGTTGCTTGTGAAATGACAGTGAAGACCAGTTATAAGGAGGAGAAGAACAAGAGCAATATAGGTGTTTCAAAAACAGACACAGAAGAAGCCAGGAACTTCAAAAGAGGAAGAAAAAGAAGGAGGTTACAGGTCATAACCACAAGGAATTTCCATGTCAATAATAACCCACTTCCCCCATTTCAGTTCTCAGTGAATTAAAAAACTCATTAGTTCTTATTAGTTTTTATGTTTCAAAAAACAAAGCAAGCAAACAAACAAACAAAAAACCCAACAGTCATTTCTCATCTTCCCCTTATAAGGGGAAACGGATTTCTGTTCTTGACTGTGTCCCTGAACACCGATATAGGAGAAGCTCTAAGAGGAGGCACCTGTTTGTCGTGGAATGCTGGTCCCTGTTTTCAGAAAGACAAACTACTACCTGCCCTATCTTTAGAGATGAGTAATTTTCTCCAAAATGAATGAATGAATGAATAAATAAATAGATAATAAAAGATCTCACTTTCATCTAGCATCAAAGAAGAAAAACAAGTCAAATGTGGGCACCCACCCATCACACCTCTGTTTTGATGTTCCTTCCAGCAGAACATGTCCTAACAGACACATGTCCTGGTTCCCAAGTTAGCGCTGCTCCTCAAAGCTGCCAATCAAGGGCTCAGAACTGCACCGTAGTTAGACTGTAGCCTGTCCCCCAGTGCATCAAATTGTGCTTACGACAGACTTGTATTTCTGTATAAGATATAATTATGTAAGTCATTTGAGATAAATTGGCAGCTTAATAATTGTGGGAACCTGTGACATGTTCCAAAGACATTTAAAACTTTTGTAACCTATCATGGCAAAAATATTAAGATGACCTAAAGCTATGAACTAAATTTGATTTTCACACATGAATGCATGTGCACACACTTATTAATGAATTTTAATAATTTATTTTTAATTAGTGAGTTTCAATTAATCCTATTAACATGTAATTGGCTACTAAACTGGTCCTGAACTCATGAGCCTCTGATTTCACCATCCTCAGTTTGAGATTTTTAAATGTGGGCAACAAACCTAGCATCATATACAAAATCACTGAAAGATCTAGTCTAGAAAAACTTTGCAAGCATAACGGCATCTTTTTGTTTGTAAATTTAATAACTCCACCCCTTGTAACATTTTGC